GTAACATCTCCTTATTCCACAATATAGTTGGCTGTTGGATGGCTGTAACATCCGAAATGAAATTGTGTATTACATCCCATTACATCAATGCATGTCTTCCACATTCTGAGGACTAACTTGAAACGATTTGGCCAAAGAACATACTCCCAACTGAACTCAAAAGAACTCTAAACGCTGTCGCTTTTCAAGTCCCAGCTAAATACATATCTCTTCCGACAGTCATCCCTAAAATCTACTGCCTTGTGTTTGTGTTCACATTGAGTTTAAATTAATATTATAGTATATTTGTAGCACTATGAGCACACACATAGTGTATGGAGTTGGCGCCAAATAATTGGACTATCTATTATTATTATTATTGTTAAGTATAACATAGTGGGGTATAAGAGCATAAGAACAGACTTTCACTTTGTGTGAGTTCATTGTGGTATGAATTGTCATAGAGTGAGGGTCAGTGTGAACATTGTTGCAAGCTCTGAAGTGAACGTCCATTTTTTAATTAACATCACACAGTTAGTGTACTGAAAGGCTCAGGGAAAGATATGAAAAAATGTGAACACCCACCTGCCAGGTGACGCCAGTCTCTGCCATGAGGTATCATAAGTTTGTTGGCGATCTCCTGAAATACACTTGGTGGAAGCTTCAGAATGTTCTGTGAGAGGCATGAAGTTTTCTGCCCATGCTTGACACTTGTGCTGTCACTCTGAGAGAATCAAGACAAAAAGTACAGATTATGAGTGACAACTCTTTCTGCTGGGTTTTTGTGCCACAAATATTGAAATAATTATATATTATATCTAAATATGTATTCCAGTTGTACATGCTAAATCATACATCATACATTACTCTGAAATATGGGATTTCAGAGCGGTGGTCACAATGGAGACAAAATAAGGCAAGGTGTAGGGTATCAGAGTGACAAGTTATTTAGGGCATGGTGTAGGATATCATATCACCATGGCGACCTATATAAAGCAAGGTGTAGGGTATCAGAGTGACAAGTTATTCAGGGCATGGTGTAGGATATCATATCATACCTAACCATGTGACAAGCTATTTAGGGCATGGTGTAGGATATCATATCACCATGGCTTGCACTCATATAAGGCAAGGTGTAGGGTATCAGAGTGACAAGCTATTTAGGGCATGGTGTAGGATATCATATCACCATGGCGACCTATATAAGGCAAGGTGTAGGGTATCAGAGTGACAAGCTATTTAGGGCATGGTGTAGGATATCATATAACCATGGCGACCTATATAAGGCAAGGTGTAGGGTATCAGAGTGACAAGCTATTTAGGGCATGGTGTAGGATATCATATAACCATGGCGACCTATATAAAGCAAGGTGTAGGGTATCAGAGTGACAAGTTATTTAGGGCATGGTGTAGGATATCATATAACCATGGCATATCATATCAGACCATGGCATGGTGTAGGATATCATATAACCATGGCACTCTATATAAGGCAAGGTGTAGGGTATCAGAGTGACAAGTTATTTAGGGCATGGTGTGGGATATCATATAACCATGGCGACCTATATAAAGCAAGGTGTAGGGTATCAGAGTGACAAGCTATTTAGGGCATGGTGTAGGATATCATATAACCATGGCAACCTATATAAGGCAAGGTGTAGGGTATCAGAGTGACAAGCTATTTAGGGCATGGTGTAGGATATCATATAACCATGGCGACCTATACCAAGCATGGTGTAGGGTATCATGACAACCTATAAGGGGCATGGTGTAGGATATCATATCACCATGGCGACCTATATAAGGCATGGTGTAGGGTGTCAGAGTGACAAGCTATTTAGGGCATGGTGTAGGATATCATATCACAATGATGACCTATATAAGGCATGGTGTAGGGTGGAGGTTACTGAAGGAAGGTTGGTGCTGGATGTTACTGGAGGGAGGTTGGTGTTGGATGTTACTGGAGGGAGGTTGGTGCTGGATGTTACTGGAGGGAGGTTGGTGCTGGATGTTACTGGAGGGAGGTTGGTGCTGGATGTTACTGGAGGGAGGTTGGTGTTGGATGTTACTGGAGGGAGGTTGGTGCTGGATGTTACTGGAGGGAGGTTGGTGTTGGATGTTACTGGAGGGAGGTTGGTGCTGGATGTTACTGGAGGGAGGTTGGTGCTGGATGTTACTGGAGGGAGGTTGGTGTTGGATGTTACTGGAGGGAGGTTGGTGCTGGATGTTACTGGAGGGAGGTTGGTGCTGGATGTTACTGGAGGAGGAGGTTGGTGCTGGATGTTACTGGAGGGAGGTTGGTGCTGGAGGGAGGAGGTTGGTGCTGGATGTTACTGGAGGAGGTTGGTGCTGGATGTTACTGGAGGGAGGCTGGTGCTGGATGTTACTGGAGGGAGGTTGGTGCTGGATGTTACTGGAGGAGGTTGGTGCTGGATGTTACTGGAGGGAGGTTGGTGCTGGATGTTACTGGAGGGAGGTTGGTGCTGGATGTTACTGGAGGGAGGTTGGTGCTGGATGTTACTGGAGGAGGTTGGTGCTGGATGTTACTGGAGGGAGGTTGGTGCTGGATGTTACTGGAGGGAGGTTGGTGCTGGATGTTACTGGAGGGAGGTTGGTGCTGGATGTTACTGGAGGGAGGTTGGTGCTGGATGTTACTGGAGGGAGGTTGGTGCTGGATGTTACTGGAGGAGGTTGGTGCTGGATGTTACTGGAGGGAGGTTGGTGCTGGATGTTACTGGAGGGAGGTTGGTGCTGGATGTTACTGGAGGAGGTTGGTGCTGGATGTTACTGGAGGGAGGTTGGTGCTGGATGTTACTGGAGGAGGTTGGTGCTGGATGTTACTGGAGGGAGGTTGGTGCTGGATGTTACTGGAGGGAGGTTGGTGCTGGATGTTACTGGAGGGAGGTTGGTGCTGGATGTTACTGGAGGAGGTTGGTGCTGGATGTTACTGGAGGGAGGTTGGTGCTGGATGTTACTGGAGGGAGGTTGGTGCTGGATGTTACTGGAGGGAGGTTGGTGCTGGATGTTACTGGAGGAGGTTGGTGCTGGATGTTACTGGAGGAGGTTGGTGCTGGATGTTACTGGAGGAGGTTGGTGCTGGATGTTACTGGAGGGAGGTTGGTGCTGGATGTTACTGGAGGAGGTTGGTGCTGGATGTTACTGGAGGAGGTTGGTGCTGGATGTTACTGGAGGGAGGTTGGTGCTGGATGTTACTGGAGGAGGTTGGTGCTGGATGTTACTGGAGGAGGTTGGTGCTGGATGTTACTGGAGGGAGGTTGGTGCTGGATGTTACTGGAGGGAGGTTGGTGCTGGATGTTACTGGAGGGAGGTTGGTGTTGGATGTTACTGGAGGGAGGTTGGTGTTGGATGTTACTGGAGGGAGGTTGGTGCTGAGGTTGGTGCTGGATGTTACTGGAGGGAGGTTGGTGCTGGATGTTACTGGAGGGAGGTTGGTATTGCACCTGATAACATAATAGTTGCATAATAACCTGCTGACTCTCTGACACTATCCACTTCTTAATGTTGGGATAATCGTTAAGACACACATGACCACATCTGATGGTGGGCGTGGCCAGATTGACAACATGACCCTGGATGTGAGGAGGACACTCCTGCAGTGGACAAGGAGGGCCCAGAATGTAATGGAGGTCAGGGGGCACTACATGGGCCAGCAACTGTTGAAACAACTGCATAAGCACCATCTCCTTCCCCGACAGGCAGCCCCTGAAACATGAACGCACACCAACATCTTCAATGTTCAGTCAACAGCAGATAACTAGGGAGCGGGTATTTTAAGTTGGATTACTTGTCCCCAATCCCTTTCACATTTGTGAATAAAATATGTTTAAATCAAATCAATCAATCAGCAGATAAATGTCAAAACAAACTCATAACACTAACAGATAAACCAACACTAGCAGATAAACCAACACTAACACTAACAGATAAACCAACTCTAACAGATAAACCAACACTAAGAGATAAACCAACACTAAGAGATAAACCAACACTAAGAGATAAACAAGCACTAACAGATAAATCAACACTAACAGATAAACCAACACTAACACTAACAGATAAACTAAGAGATAAACCAACACTAACAGATAAACCAACACTAACACTAACAGATAAACCAACTCTAACAGATAAACCAACACTAACAGATAAACCAACACTAAAAGATAAACAAACACTAACCTGTCAACGGTGATCACAATGGTATCCTTCATATTGTCAAACAGAAGCTTCAGTGAGAGATTCCAGAGACTGATGGCACAGAGCCCTGATCTCAGGAATTTCATTTGAACACATTCTTGATGTTGTCCAATTGCAGCCATCAGTTTGTAGAATATAGTCCATGGTGTGGTCCCACCAAACACTACCAGCAGACAGATGTTGCTGACCGTCAGCTTGTGGCTTCCTGCTGTCAGCTCTTCAAGGAAATAGGGGATGAAAATATTTCGATCATTTCCTTGGCAAATCTCTGACGGACCTGAAGCAAAGCATGACATGAAATCATATTGTAATACCAGAAGGAAGAATGACTGAATATTTAATGAGTATCTGACTCAAACATTAGTTAACTCTTGGCCTGCCATGGTGGTAGGCCAGACAAGATCTGTCCCTACTCAGTAGCTACAGTCAGTGTGACAAGGTAACCTAAACATTAGTTAACTCTTGGCCTGCCATGGTGGTAGGCCAGACAAGATCTGCCCCCATCATGTGACAGTCCATAAAGTGATATGATACTGTATTCATTTGATAACAGAAGGCTTGTCTCTTCATATCACCTGACCTGTTGACACGTTCACTCACGCCACATCTCATGAAGATACTGGAGAATACTGGGGATAGGGTGCTATAGAACATGGGATCTGGTGTGATGGGAGCACCAACCTATATCATAGACAATGCCCTGGGTCTTTAGATACTGAGTGAATCTTTCCACATCGGGGACAATGTCCTGTAGTAACATGAACAGTTCACTCTGCAGTAATACTCCTCTCATGGACAGGTGGAACATCAGCTCTCCATCAAGGACATCCTTACTGTCAATGCACATGCGTACTAAGCGATAATACACAGAGACAGGATGCACAAACATAGCCTGTAGTGAGACAGCCTTTGGGGATCCACTGGACTTCCCTGGAACAACAAGAAGCAGGGTCATATATTTTACACCGGAGATGAACACATCAGAAATGATTCAAATAGAAACCAATATATCAATGTTACATGCTGGTATTCTTTGACCACACAATGATTCAGAAAATGTTGAAGAAAATTGGTCAATTTCAAATTGTTCTCAGTCAGGAAAAATCAAGATTCATTGCTTGGAACAAGCAAAAGTTCATACTATGATGGATATCTTAACATCTTCAAGCTGTCAAAACTGTTACTAATAGGCAAGCCAGTGAATAGCTAACCATAGTTCAAAGTATAAGACATGAAGTTGATAGAGAGCTACATTCTCCACATGTAAGATGACATCAAGCCCAAGAAAGCATGAAAACTTACATGCAGTGATTAGTGGTACATAAACTTTAAAGGAACTTTGTCAGTAGGTTTACTGAAACGTACAACATGCAGAATCAATACTCAAATATAAGTCCTAATACCTGTTAATAGTTGTAGGCATCCCATCTGCTCCAGCTCCGCAACAACATCAGCTTGCAGTATCAAGTCTTTGTAATGTGGATAATGTCCAAAGATTTGTTGTCTGAGTTCATCTGCCTGCCACACAGTGCGGGACTCGTGCTCCATGCTGGACAGAGCTTCAGACACATGCTGAGTTCTTGAGCGCACTTCGGGCCATAGGATAAAGCATGCTTCATCATCTTGGTGCACAGTTCACCTGTTGTCTCCTGAACGTTGGATCGATCAACAAACACTATATGAGGGATTGAGACAGAGTATTTTCCATGTTGTCTATCATTGGCATAAAACATTGTGCGCACTTCATCCCCTTTGTCCTCGTCATCATCTAGGCTGAAGATGCCATACACAGAAATGTGAGTCATGTTCCCTACATAACTCTGAATACTATGCAGCAGTTGTTCCAGACGAGCAATATCAGTAGACATGTTGGTGAGAATTTTCTGTGCATCAAATGCAATTATAAAAAGGCAATCTTTTGTGAAGAGATAGTGACTGCTGTGATGGAAGAAATTATCATCCTGAACTACAAACAGTTCCACATTGACACAGGCAACATCTCCTCCACACTGCACACAGCCACTGGAGCTGGAAGTGCTGAAGTAGCCTGTCCCATTCAACACCCTATGCTGGTCTCTCGGTACACTTCTACGCTGTTGCCATATGTCTACTGACACTTTTCTACTGTCAAACTTCTTCAAGGAAAGTTTCACCAGCTGTGTATGTGTGTCCTGCATTACTGTAGTGCTAGCGGGACTTCCAGACATGAGCATGTTAGCCAGATGATTGGCTGCATTCCCACATATGAATACTCTTGAGCAAGGAACTATTCCATCTGTGGGTGAAGTTGGACTGCTGCTTCCTTGGTGATACAAAGGATTACAGTTGTCTTCAGGTGAGTGTGGTGGGCTTGGATGACTAATGTTGGAGGGAGACTCAGTCCCGCAATTCTTGCACCAGACTTCTAGACTGCGTGGACTGGGAACTCCTCTCAGTTGGGGTTCACAGATCGGACTACTTGCTGACATCCCATGCTTATCATTAGTGTGTTTCTCTGAATGTCTCCAGTACATAACCCTCTCCACAGGATCCTGCTGCCCTGCCGGTCCCACCCACACTGGGCTGACATTAGTGAGAACAGATCGACTGTTTGGGTACATAGACAATCCAGGACTTGGGGTGAAGTTGGTATCTGATACACCTCGTCTTTGGGGCATCATTAGAGGGGTCATTTTTTGCTTCTGCTGCTGATGCTGCTTCATGATCTTGTCAGCATGTTCCTGTGCCTTCTGTAGGATGCCCTCTGGCCTCTGGATGACCAAGCGCACTTCTGTCAGATCATCAAACTGGGCCCGATGAGCCTGTCACAAATATACATTGAAAAAAGATGCATAATGATACTTTTTGTGATTTCATAAACCTTCAGCCAAATAATAACAAACAGATTTTAGAAAAAAGAAAAGAAATTCCACACTGTCTGTGTGAAGAGCAGTGTCCAGGTTTACCACAGTTTACAGTGCCTCATAACCTCATTCTCTGAAGTGCAATATATTCCATACCACTGCCTATGTAGCTAAAGCAATGGATATTTGGGGTTTGCAACTTACAGACTTTAAAATTGTCTAAATGCTAGCCCATAATAGATGGACAAAAGTACTGAAACTGTTACCTCGTCCCGCCTCTGCAGAGGTTGCCGGTTGATGGACTGTATCCAGTCTCCAACAAACAGGTCATGTGATGCAGCTACTGACCCAGGTTGGATAGCCTCCACAAGAGTATATATCTGTGATGTCGCTTCCTAGATAATGAAAAGGCAGAAAACATGTGACAAGAGTGAATGCAGTAACAGTTGACTTTTGTTAGCAACATTGTGGCAGTCAAATCAATACCCGGCCAATCACCCACCAAAAGCATGTTCAGCGATCCACAAAATCAGGTCACAAAGACACCAAGCCAACCAGTTTCACCAGCTGATCAATATTAGTTAACACCTACCACAAGCACTTGGGACCAATTCAGACTCCAGAGTCCCTATAGGGCTCATGTCCCTACAAACATCTCAAGACAAGTCTCTGTATTTGGGTTGACATTATCAGTTTCATGATGACATCGTCATAGTGTAGGGTTTTTCAGTTATTAAATACACACCCAAAAATACAAAATGGGTCATAACCGGCACACATGTTCCACTTCGACCATGCCCTCTAAAGGTTTTGAATGAACTCTTGCATGTACCGGTACACTAACTTTATGTTAAATAAGTGGCAGTGTCTTATATTATTACATTTTATTTATTTGTGAAAATACAGTATTGTTTTTAAACAGTTTGGGTGTGGTAGTTTTATTGGATTAGGTTTTTATTAAGAGTATGTATGGTATTTGTCTCAAGCTTGATTGCCCCAAGCTGGACCTGGGCTCTATTGTATTATTGTGGGAGAGCAGGGCGTTCTTTTGTTCTTCATTCAAAGGGCAAGCTACTCCTTGATCTCTGATTGGTCAGTTTAACTTTGTCTGTTTTCTTCTTCACTAACATCAGCACTTTGAATTAGTCTACCACATACACTGCACAAGAAAGGCACCTAGATTTCTGATGGATGTCTGATTTCTCCTTTTGGTCTATAACTACTCTCTGTTTAAGGTTAGTGAACTTAATTATAACAAAATTATATAGGATCTACTATTTAAGTATAAGGTTATAATATTGCGTTATGTGAAGGTATGAATGTGTTTTAGGATTAGTGTAAAATAATGTTTATAGGCATGATTTCATTTTTTAAGGCATAAAGATTATCATGTAAAGTTTATCAGTAATACATGAGGTCAGGCGACACATAAGCAGTTGTGCCTGCTGGGCAGCCATCTTTGTCAGCCATGTTGTATACGTCAGGGTAGAGATTGCGATCTGGTAGCATCGGAGATTCTACCAGTAGAGATTGCAATCGGAGTCTCTACCAGTAGAAACTCTGATTATATAGAATAACCTATACAATCGCAATCTCTACCAGTAGAAGCTCAAATCTGATCCTACTAGTAGAGATTGAAATCTAAGTGAAATATATAGAAAAACAAAAATTATTTTTGTATATTGTAGAATGACATCTTCCATTGAAAAGTGCACACTGTTTGTCCAGCTTGATGTTTACAAACAAAATGAAAATAAAACATTGTTGCTTTGTTTTCATTTATGATTGTTACTGTAAATAAATGTAACTCTAAAATTAAAGAAAATAAAAATTTATACAAACCTGTAGAGGTTATGAATTCTTTGAAGAAAGTCCTCCTTGGGGTACATATAAGCATTAAAATGTCCATTTTAAATCCTACGACAGTTGTAACTATATTTTTAATAAAATATTTACAGAACAAAAAACTCGTTTTGTCTTGTGAGACCACCCCTACAGGGCCCCACCGGACCAACACAGCCAAGAGCAGGTAACTCTCGCCGTCTACCTCGTACCTCACTTTTCATGCTGAACGTGTCAGACAGAATGAGGGGCGGGTGGGTTTACCCAAGGAGGACTTTCTTCAAAGAATTCATAACCTCTACAGGTTTGTATAATTCTTTTCAGAAGAAGTCCTCCTTGGGGTACATATAAGCATATGACAGACTCCCAAAGATATTTGAGACGGAGTGGCATTCTGTCTGGCAACAACTAACCCCGTGGTGGAGTGAAATCTACAACCGATACGAAATAGAAAACACCGAGCCACCTGACCGCTGATGTCAATCAGACGGGCGGAACTAGAGAGCCCAAGCTTATATGTCAATTGGCTCAATATCAATGACATAAAACCCCGCCCCCAACCATTACAATGGAAGGAATGTATGGGGACATGCCGAAACAACTCCCAACCCTAATATAGCCCCAGCCAGACAATCGTGGCGAGAGGTATAAGGGTAGGGAAAGCGTAAAAATTTAAACGCTACAAAGCCAATAACCCAGGAGTCGAAGCTAATAAGTACTGCAAACTAATGCTCTAATGCAGCCCCTGTTTGGAAGAGGGCTTGCCGGACCTCGATAAAACCAGAGAAATTATTAGCCTCGCTAAAACTTTCTGAGGAAATCGAACGAGTACAAACGCCATGCATTGTAATGAAAGTGAAAACACCCCACCAAACACTCTCGGTGTGAGGAGGGTAAGTGTAGGCCACCATCCCACAAAGCTGATCAACACAGACTCCCAAATACCGAGGCTCGGAAGAGGGAAAAACTGTAAGCGCACAAAAATCCCCTGAATAGCTTAAAAGCGTGAGCCGAACATATGTTGGCTCACCATTACACTAACCTGGTCAATGTGACATGCGGCTCGAAGAGGCATACCAAACAGTGCCCGTGGGGTTCGCGACCCAATTCCGCCGCAAGACGGTTAATAGCATATGACTGGTTAAAGCGCTCAAAACGGACCCCGCCCTCTTGAAGGGGACGAAGGGACGATGTACACCCAAACCCGACCCAACCCGAAAAGGATGGTAAGGCTAATGCGATGTAGTGATATGAAATATATCGACATTGAACACAGAACCGATATCAATGACCAGTTACTAACTTGGTCAGGGTGGCAGGTCACTCTCCACTGGAGAGAACCGAAGATCGAACCGAGCACGATCCTTAGAATGCGTGTCAAGTTGGTAATGGCGAATGAAGGCGTTCTGCTGGCTCCAAAGAGCGACAGAACCGATCTCTTCATTGAGCAGTGCCGCTGTGTATTGTCAACAAAGCGGCATCTGCCCTACCCAGTCTGCCTTCAACCCTCGGGAGGTAAACCGTATCATTGTAACCATACAATTACGGAAACAAGCCAACGAGATAAAGTGCGCTAGCAGACTCCCCAGTCTTCCCGCCACCAAACAGCACACATGGGTACCCGTGACGGATCCCTTTTGTTCGCTCGTTTCAGGACAGGCACGGGTGAGCAATCGAAAGATTGGTCCCCGTGCGCGAAGGCTGGGTAGTAGTGGAAGTGCGATATGAGCAGTCACGCGGAAAGCAATATCGCGACTGAGAGTGGTAGGTATCCGAGTCGAATCACGGACATGATCAGTATAAAATACTGTCAGTGTCGGGTCAGTGGGAATCGCATGGATATACCCGACCCTTCTACCAGAGTTCACCACAACAAGTAAAGTCGCCTTCCACGCCAACAAGTGAAGTGAGAGAGACGATATACTTGAAAAATTAGGGCCAGACAGCCAATTGTGAATAAGTGGCAATTTTAAGGTGGGCTGGTCGCCGACGAAGCGGTCGAACCCTGTTCATGCCAGCTACGACGCCGATAATAAGAGGATGCTGCCTAGGCAGAGCACCATCGAACGAGGTGTGAAACGTGGAAATAGCCATGGAGTACCCGCAATGGTGGAGGTCATAAGGCTCTCAACCAAAACGAGGTTATAGTAACTCCAATATCCGAACTAAGTCCGCAGAATAGGGATTATGAAATCCCCTATCTGCACACCAGCAGCTTCCACCTATCAACACACTGAACGGGTGTCAATCCCAGGCAGAATTGTGTCTGCAACGGTTGCAGGAATTCCGTGTGTTATACCCGACAGAGGCCAAGCCACCCAGTGAATCCGAGGATTCGGTGTGGCGCCTCTGCAGAGTGAGAATGTCTGGTCGAAGAGTAATTCAATCCCGCGCATGGGATCGAACACCAACCTGACTGCTGTCAATTCCAGCACATTGATGTGCAGGTTGTGACTTCGTCTCAAGAGGCTGCAGGTCACCCAGAACATCGCCTCTAACCCGGTAGGGATGTATCTGGCTGGACTGAGAGCGACGGTGTCTCCAGGGTGGGGACCTCGGAGAGACGCTTCGACGCCTGTCCATCTGACTGCGTGAGGTTGACAATTCCGCCCAGTTTCGTAACTGATCGTGTGGTCCCCAGACTCAACAGTTATCTGAAACCACGATGAGTCAGTCGCCTATGTATGCGGGTGACAACACCGCACTGCGATCTGGCTATCTGAGCTGTAATAAACCTCAATTTGGTGAACACCCTTGGCACCGTGAATGTAGCCTAAGGAGAGCACAATTTAAACTGGTAGCACGTCCGTCAAACAAGAAACCGAAGGTAAATCTTGAAATCAGGGTGCAATGGAACAAGGAGGTACGCGACCGCAGGTCGATTGACGCGGCGCCAATCCCCTGTCTCGGCAGATGAGATCACCGAAGCGGTGTCTCCATCTTGAAGGACAGTACCTCTATAAACTTGTTCACTCTCAGATGAGAATGGGTCTGAACATTCCGTTAAGTAATGGCAACTATGAAATAAGTGGAGTCAAACCCCACATATTCCTGACCATTGGAAACCACCACACTGGTTGCCTAGCCCAGCAAAGACTGGATCTGGGCACGAGGTATTGTCGCCGCCTCCCCGGGAAGCCGACACAGGAGTGTGTCGCCCGCCGTGTTTGCGGCAGAATATAGTAACTCCCAGCAGTCGGCAACTTAACGCTTGCCGATGCCTGGGCACCTGAGGAAGTAACGAAGCTCAACAGACTTCCGTATTCCTCGAAACTGTCCCGGCGATATGCCCATAACCGCCTCATCATTTGACTGGCACAGCTACAATGCAGTCCCTAGCCAGATGAGAGTTGCCCCGTCAGATGCAGCCAGAGTCGCCGACGAAAAATTCCACCGGCTCTCTCCCTTTCCACCAGCTCCTTCAGCAGCACTGAGAGATGCGCCGAGTGGAGCATACAGCGTTGAGCTGTGAAGGGGAAAGAACGGCAGATGTAAGGGAGAGTGTGAGGCCTTGTCCCGGATGCCGTGCTGGAAGCAGCCTTCCCTCCGGGAG